CCCTGCCCGTATCAGCTGTTTGCCTATTTCAGGCACCCATAACTTCCTGCAGCACCAAAACAGCTTAAGTATCAACCTGAAAACCAAGTAGTTGTGCCTTTGTTTACTACATCTGATGCTTCAGCTGAGGGCTGCCCTCATCAGTGGAACAGTTCTTAAGTAGAAAGTATGAAAACAACCACCCCGGAGGTGATTCATGGTAGTACAAAGACATAAACCCCAAGTTAAGCAATGCCTAAGCTAGCACCAAGCTTGCTGCAGCAGGGCTTGTGTTGCTTGGAGAACACGGACATGGCAGTTGAATCGGGTGTGATGAGCAACAGATCAAAGAGCAACAAGCTTTAGAGAGGAAGGGTCACTGTGAAATGGCCACACGGCCATCAATCCACAGCGATCCATGCTTCCAATCGCTCCCCGCCTGCAGCCACCGCAGTGAGCCAACCACGAACACAAGCCTTGCTACATCTGTAGCCTCAGCACTGCAAACAGAATGTCCCCTTTACTGCTAGAAAAGGTGAAGCTCCTGGAGTGCTACCGAACCTTAAGGGCAGCCAGTCTCAGACAAAAACACATCAGGGAACTGGTACTTACCCGTGTGTTAGCTCTCACATGCACCTCTTCCCCCGCCAACAAAGAAAAGGATACTGACTTCTGTAGTGGTGAACTGATCTCTAAGAAAATCCAGGTCTTCCTCTAGAAGATCAAGGTTTCTTGTGGCTGTTGACAAATTCTTTTCTAACAGAGCCTGAGCTTCATCAATATCATATTCAAGCATCACATTGGCCTAAAACAAGAAAGATGGGTAAAAGCTGTTACTCTTGCATTGTAAGGAAGAAGCTGCAGCAGGCTTATTGCAGGCTGTTGTTTGTAACTTCTCACATTAACAGAAGGCTGTCCTGACAGGTCAAGGCAACAAGATTTGGGACGAGCAATGCCAGAATCCACGCAAGGCCTCCACCAATGGATTAACTGTAATAAATCCCTCTAGTGACTTAAAAAGGGTTCTTGTTCTATAACTAAGCAATAAGGGACTTCTCTCCCCGTGGACTGCATTCAGCCTTTCAGGTGTCAGCATCTCCACCATATTTGAAAAGAGAGAGACTTCACATTTCTTAGAAGCACCTTTCAAGAGCCACACGACCCTAGAAACAATTGTTGTTCCATTCAAGATTAACCTGGGGATCTATCTCTGTGTGGAACACTGACAAAGAGCCTCAGGGCACTGCTTGCTCATTAACAGGAAGTATTACAGGCATCTCAAGATACAACTTGTGTTAAGAGCCCTTTTCTTTACCGTGGAGGCTTTTGACCTACGAATCTTTGGGTCAGTAAGAAGCTGCCACATGAAGAGATAAAAGAGCAGTATCAAGTGAAGATGCCCCAGTGAAGCTTTGTCCCATCTGAGAACTGTGCATTGAGCATCCATGTACTACTAACTAGACATGATCCCAGAGATACTGCACAGAGCTGCAAGAGGGAATCAGCCATTCTTCTCCTGAAATAACCACGAGAGTTTCCCCAAAAATAGTAATGCACAGAGCCCAACATGCAGACTGTAAGCAACAAGGAGATAAAGGCAGAAGGCCAAGAACACCTAAATATAATACTGCTTGTGGCATTTCATTACAGCTTTTCTGTACTAACCATCAACAGGATGAACTTCCTCTGATACTCTGCTACAGAATAAACCTGGGATGCTCCATGAAAGTCAATGTTTGTCAATTCTGAAGACAGTCTCCTAAAAGCAAGAGGTGTCAGACAAATCCCTCTTTATGATAGAGAAGAAGTGGGAGAGGCTGGGAGTAACTGCCCAATCAGCCCAGATGGTGCACGGGTCAACAACGTGCCTATTGTAACCAAGTGGTTTGGTTTGGCAGCCAACACAGGGATTTGGGAACATCCCAGATTTAGAAGTATCAAAATAAACATTCACAGGTGGTCTCCACATACAGGAAGTCCTTGAATACAAAATATCCCAACCTGGTGTCACTTAAATACTTAGAAATCCGTGTTTTGAGCTCTGATCCCACTGGTCTCTAGCACTCTAAATGCTGGCAGGTACCTGTGACTAACAGAAATCCCACCTTTCCCTAAAAACATACATGAAAAGGGAAAGCAAGATGCTAAATACCAATAATGCAGAGAAGATGAGAAGCTGGTTGCCAAACTGGAGTTATTTTGCTGGACACATTCCCACCCCAAGCAACGCTGGATGGTTAATTTGAACCACAAAGTGATAGAAGAGGTAAGGAAAATGTACACCAATGTGCTTTTTGGACAGAGCAATCCAGCAAAATTACAACTCTGAAGTATTTGCTGTTCAGGCACCAAATAAATCAAACAAGAAACCTTTGCTAACGTGCTGTTAGATCTGCCCTGCTGACAGGGGCAGCTCCACTGTGCACACATGAACAAAACTATGCCCATAGCCACTAGCAGTACAGGTGAGACAGCAACAAACACTGTCTTCTATAAGCCTTTTGTAAGTAATTTAAACAGTTTCAGAGAAAGTTCCGTTTTACTTACCCCCAACCACAAACAAACTTTATCTGTAGGAGGAACTGAAGCTTTGCAGTAGAGATTATCTGCCAATAAAAATCTGGTTTCCATTGGATTTGTGGAGTCCTTAAGACAAATGATAAAACTTAAATTTGCTATTTTTCACTGGAAACTTATGTCAAAGACATAAAACTTACAGTAAAGAGCACACTTTTCTGCTTTTTGCCATTGCTACAGTACTAACTGTGGTGGAACTCTATGTAATTGTACTTCAACATTAAAGGCAGAGCTCCAAGAATAAAGCATTTTAAAAAGATCTATTTAAAAGCAATACAGAAATCTATATAAATAACAGGGATGAAGTCAAAGCTTAGCTGCAGTCTATACACCGTTAACAGTTTCATTACAAACAGTTTTGAACTAGCTTTCAAAAAGTACTACATACCTTTAAAAACAATTCTGTTATTTATAAAGGCATATTAAGTGTGCTCTCCAAAACATTTCTTGCAATGTGTTCTGTTAGGGTGGAAACGTAGTTAGCTTTTCTCATACTCATAGATATTCAAAATAGTTTACCTTTTTCTTCTGCATGTGTTTTAAAATTTCTAATGTCTGTTTAATTTCAGGAATCTGACTTTTTAGCCTGTGAATTAACAACAGTCATTTATTATTTCACAGAGACACAAAGTTTCCTAAACAAGTGATCAGTTTTATTACACAATCCAACCTCCTCTTTCAAACTCAAAACTCTTAACAGCCTTCCAGGCTTCCAAAGCTATGGCATGTGAAGGCACCTCAGCTCCAGCACTCTGAGGATCAATGCTTATCTGAAGCAGAGCAATACATACTGCTTTCAAACTGGAACACATGTATTGACAGGAACAGGTACCTCTTTGCTGAAATACTACATGTTTGCTTATTTATAATCTTCCCAGAGAGGAGGGAAACCTCAGCAGAAATACAGATAAAAGACCCCTCCTTGACAGCCCCTGTAGCAGTGCAGCGGGCTCAGACAACAGCAGCTGCCAAAGGCAAGGCCTCCAGGTGGAAATCAGGAGTGATGTTTGTCCATGAGTGAACTTTAATATACATTAAAATATTGCATCAAGCTTTGATTTTAGAAATCTGCTTCTTGCCTGGCTTCAGATCAAGACTGAAGCTACGGAAGAGAGATGAGGTGACAGGCTCGTTACAGTCATCATTTGACAAACTCTATTCTTATTTACCCCGGGTGCCCACATTTAGAGCTGCAGCAGTACTGTTTGGCCTTAAAGGCTAAGAACCAATTTGACAGTAGTGTAAGTTCTTTTGCATGTAATTCTCAGGAAGAGCAAAGAAAAAAGCTGGGCTTCCCTTGAGGCACTGCGAATATTAGCTCTCCTAACGTAACACTTTTTACTTCCTGGGATATTTTAATATAGACTTATTTAAAACAATAAAACTATGCTAAACATTTCCCAAGTCTGCAAAAATGATGACTTACCTCCTTTTCTTTTGAGCAAGATTAAGTTCCAAAAATTTATACTTCTGATACTGCTCATCCAACTTCTTAAGAACTACATCTGCTGTCTCATTTCCAGGCTGTTTCATAAAAGAATCTACATCTTCCTTTAAGGGGAAAAAGAAACCCTCAATGTTAGAAGAGTTTTACAGCACTCCTAGATACAGTCATGCTCTCATGTTTCTGCAGCTAAGTCTAGAGGGGGTTTTAGGGGCAAATAAACTTGTTTTCTGGAGTGAGGTGCAAAACCATTTACTTTCCTTTCTTAGGCACCTTTTCACCTCCCCCTCCCCCCTTTTTTTTTTGGCAGGGAACTGCAGAATAGGTGCAATGATTATTTCATAACCAGGTTTGCTAGTACCTTGTCAGTGGTGCTTCCAGTCCCAGCCAATGTCGAATGACACCTGACAGGGATGGGTGCCCTCAGACCACTGCTAACCCCTGCTCTGCTATCCCTAAAGCAGGGACAACACTTCTCTCTGGCTAATCAGGTTACACACTGTTTAGGATAAGATGAAGAAAAAGAATCACGGCCTGATCAAGCACGTGGTAGTAAAGATACAACGGGGAGGAAACTGTGGTATCTGCTCAGGCAGGCTCCATCGTAGTAACCAGCTCATCTTCAAGAGCAACTACAGCCGGCAGGAAGCCATGGAAACCTCTAGAGAACAATTCCAGCCAGTCCTACCATCAGCTGGAAAAGCAGCCAGGGAACACAGGCCTGAGCAGGCGCGGATGCTGACCTCTGCAAGTGCCTTCTTCAGACTGCAAGAAGCAGTTCATCTGCCTGGGGGCAACGTTCTCAGCCTCCTGAAAGGCACGTCAGGATCAACCACGTGTTTCTGGCCTTGACATTTACCTACGTATAATTCAAGATGATCACACTCATCCACTGCTGCAATTCTGGCCTTAGGTCTCTTCATAGCTCTGTGAAATCTGACAGAAGCCTACCACAGGCCTCTTCAGTTCCTTCTAACTAGGTGTTTGCATTCCAGCAGTTCCACATCAGAAAAAGACTGTAATACATTAATAAAGTAATATCAGACACCTACCTGGGTCCCCTCGTTATGACTCCTAAGTTCTCTTGGCTAAAGAAACTTACTATGAAATTACTGAACCTGGTAAGAAGTCACCCACCTTCCTCATCACGAAGGAAATCTGCAGCAGAAATCTGAACTACACAGGGGACTTGAGCAGGCAGCATGGTCTAAGTGGTGCAACACAACTCAAGACACCACATTTCAGACTAACTGGCCAAGGAACGCCTTAAGCTACCTCGCTGACAACAGCAGAAGCATCCCTGCCTCCTGATGGAGCCTGCAGAGAAGCTTTGAACGAAGAAACCCTTAAGGATTAGATTCAGGCAAGGGTTGTACAAGTGAGGCCTGAGGATGCTCTGAAGTGAAACCCTCTCTTGTGGACGCTATTCTGCTCATGTGTATCACCCAAGGCAGAAGGAAAAAGCAGGTGGGCAGCAACTCGCCCCACACAGCGCCTGGCACCAGCTCTACCCCAGCTAATGCCCCTTTGTACAGACAGGACAGAACCCAAGCCCTCCTGAAACAAAGATGCTGAGAAGTGAATCCAGGCCCCTGTATGCTGGTGGTCTCCTACCAGTGCATAACGCCCAAGGCAGGCTCAGATTTACCACCCGGGTTTTCCAACTGCAACGTCCAAGCCCTGCTGGTCGGGCTTTTGGCCCATCTTACCCCACTTCTTTGAGCTTGAGCAGCTCTGTAGCAGAGCTGGGCACCAGTGGTGTTAGGATCCCTGCTTCATGGTACGTCACGCAGCATCTCAACTGCAGAACTACCCTACAGGTTCTGCAAGAACCTGCCAGGACTCATCTCTGTCTTTTTAGGAAGAAAATTCACCGGCTGAACACCACTGTTGTGTAGCACAGAGGTAGCACAGTCTTCACAAACTTCAAGCCCTGAAATACAGCAGGATGGCACCTTCCCACACAGCCTTATGTTTATCTTTTAAGTGATGACCCAAATAAAGAGCTGGAGGCGCTCGCTCTGCTTCTGCAGATCAGCATCTGTGAGCATATGCAGAGAGCACAACAAAAGAGATGTGTTCAGGTTTGTGTCCCTGTCCTCCTGCTCGCACACATGCCAAGGAATACATTTTATTTGGAAACACCTGGACAACAGCTCAAAAGAAAAGAGGTGGAAGTTCTACATGAGGTGGCTTTTAAGCTCCAGTGAAACCTTGAGCAAGTGCTTCATGTCACTTGAAGTCTAGAGAGGCACAAGAATCCACAGACCAATGCCTACAAAAAGGTACATCCCATAATAAACTGTTCGAAGAGCCTCTACTGAATCAAGACACTTAAAGAAAACATCTCTGAGGACACGATTCACAGTAACTGTCCTTGTAGCACGTGGTGGAGGGAAACATCAAGCAAGTGATGGGCAAGTTTTTATCATCATGGCAGCATATGACGAAAAAGAAACCCGTTGTCTGAGGAAAAACCCTGCAATGAAAACCACCCTCAAGACACCGATATTGTCACTTTGTGGAGCAGAATAACAACTCCTTAGTACATGCTGCTTCTGAATAAAAGGAAGTCTCTCTCAACACCTACATCCAAGTACTCTAAGATCGTCAGTGAGGATGTCTTCTGCAGACACATCCATATTCGATATGAGCACCCCTGAAAACTGAGAATTAGGAAATGTCAGTGGGTTTCAGATCCAAGCACAAGGTTCCAAAGAAGTGAACAGAAGCACAGAACAATCCCAGCTCACATCATACAGCACACGGGATACTTCAGACACAAGCATCAAGAGGGAACAACGTGGAAGCAAACAAGAACCGCACCGCTGGCTCCAGCATGACAAGGAGGGATGTGACAGACCCTCACAGGTTTGCTGTTACCTCCTGTCCCCTGCCAGGGGCCTCCTCCACTGCCGAGCCAGCGCAGAGCACAAGCTCCTGTCCCCTGACACAGGGACTGAGGTCTCACAGGGCAGCTGAAACCATGGCCCTTCCCTTTCACCTGCATCTATTCTAGACTCCCATCAGGGTGGAAGGAAGTCGGCCACAGGCAGCCACAGTTTTACATCCCAGTAAGATCTGCCAGACCCCAATAACTGTTAAAGAACCTTAAAGACAAAGCAGGATCGGGATGCACTGAAATCCAGGGTACTGTACCTATCTGTTCAGGATCTACACTCTAGGAAGATACAGAAGTAACGCAGCTACTACATGTGGAAATACCAAAATACAAGTCAAATCCATTCATCTCTGCAAGAACACTCACAGGTGACCAGTTCAAACAGCTCTGGTAAAGATGTCAAGACAGATCTGAGAAATAGAGACTTAAAGCCCAAGAAAAATCTCAGTAATAAATCTCAGCACAAAGAGCACAGTAACTGAAGTGTTCAGGGCAGGTATCAGGCATTCCAAGATGACACAAAGGCAGCCAGGTACAGCCAGGGTGATCGATACTTATTGATCAAGTGAGATAAAGCAGCCATCAAGGCAGAGCAGCAAGAGGCAGCTCACAGCAGCAAGTGAACAACAGAAATCATGTCACTGCGCAGTCAGTGAGTTCTTCCTTCCAACCAGTCAACTGATTTATTAAACGCTTGGGAAATTGCTTTTTTAAGTCAGAGAAACAAGTTCGGCCTGTTCTCCAAAAAGACACCTTTGCTGGTGTGCAGGAACCAGCCCGGCCCCGCAGCCACTGCCAGAGAGTGATTCTGCCCCAGCCAAGAACTGGGCTGCGAGGGGCAGACGCAGGTAAAGGTGCTGGGAGCGCGGCCCGGCGCTGCCCGACAGGAAACAGAAGCGGCGACGTTGAGCGCTGTGCGGGAGGAGCCGCTGTGAGGAAGCGCCGCTCAGAGCGTGCGGCGGGAGGGCTCACCCGCACCGCGCTCTTCTCCACGCGTGAATTAACCCGGTAACGCTTCAGAGCGGGGCTGGAGCCTCCGCGAAGAGGGGACCCAAACAAAGCATCTCCCCCCCTGAAACCTCTCGGGACTAAGGCACCCCCAGCCCCCGGGACCCCGC